CACACACACACACACACACACACACACACACACACACACACACACACCCTTCACCTCCAGACCCCACCCAGTGCACCCTCCCCAGTAGATTCCCCATCCTCCTTCCCTCTCCCCCCTCCTCCTCCCCTTCCTCTCCCCGCTCCTCCTCCCCTTCCTCTCCCCCTCCCTTCCTCTCCCTCTCTGGCTCCCTCGCCAGCCGCCGCGCTCACCGCAGCTCGGGGCTCAGCACCGCAATGTACTCCGCGCAGCGGCCCAGGAAGATGCTCTGCAGGTGTGGGGTGGTGCCCTGCCCGCTCCAGCGCGCGTCCGCAGCGCCTGCAGCGCCCGCGGCCGGCGGCAGCAGCAGGATCAGCAGCAGCGCCGGCAGCGGCCGCCGGGACCGCGCGCACCCCCGGGCTTCCATCGCAGTCACTTTGGGGGTGCCTCCCAGACTCGCCTCCTCCCGTCGCGCTGAGGTGGCTCCCCGAGCCCTAACGGAACCGGCGCTCACTTGCTGTCTCTCTTTCTGCTTCAGCTCCGGAACTGAGTTGGGATATTTCCGGGGGCAGGAGTACTGCCCTTGGCTAATCTCGGCCGGAGTCCACGAGGTGGGAGGCCCAAAGAAGAAGCAAGGTTGGAGAAGGGGTGAGGCGAGTTCGGCCTCCCGAAGGAAGATTTTTCTGGCTTCAAACAATGACAACTTTCACAGACACCCTCTTTCTCACTGGCTAATGATGAGTGGACGGTGTTTGTTTCCAGGAAATAATAACCACAAAAGCTAATATTTATTGAGCTGTTACTATGTGCCAACCACTTTGCAAGCATAATTTTCATTGCCTTTTCACAATATCCCTCCAAGCTAGGTTCATCACTCCCATTTACAGGTGAGTGAATTCAGGGAAGTTAAGTAGCTTGTCGGAGGTCACAATCTCCCTTCCAGATAGATGCAAAATTCCAGAGACAATCAGTGTAGAGATTTGAGATTAACAGAACTCACTGGAGGGCCAAGTCCTCAATTCCTACGGTAATGATAGCTATGTGCCTGGCAGACGTGATAAATGTGGGAGGCCCGTGAGAGGTAGGGTGGAGGGTTCTGGAATATTTTATTTTAATCTCTCTTTTCTATTTTTAAAGTTTATTACCCAAACTCTCATTGTCCTGTCCAGCCCCTCCCTAACTCGAGTCCACTTTCCAGATATAAGCATTTTAAATTATTTCAACAGGTATTTTGTTTTTGTTTTCCTGGCATTTACTTCCACATTTCCAAATAATATGCCTGTATGCTGTTTCTTGATGTTTCCATTTTGGATGGTATTCTATGACTTCCCACCACGTCAAAGGAAATTCTATCTTTAACCTCACACATCCTCAAAAGGCATCCTTCTGCACCCTTCATTGTCCAAGTCTTTTTATCCAAAGCTTTAACTCAGTAATCAGCATTTATGTTATTATGACTTGTGAATATTATTCATGGCTGAGTTGTAGTATTCTATGATTCTGTTTCCTTTCTTGTGAACTTCGTGCTTACCCTAGAGGTAATAATAGTCTCCCTTCCACCATCCCCAACCACTGGCTTATTTGTTTGTTTGTGATATTATATGTACACTTATGATTATGGTCAAATTCTCTACAAGGCATGTAAATCTTTCAATGCATTTAAAAGCATCAGTCAATATTTCAGGTGGTGTGTGTGATTTCTTTCTCTCTCTCTCTTTTCTTTTTGTTTCTTGGAAACACCCTTTTTTGTCCAGTTTACTGTCCCAGTCTGAGCTTACTGCTCTCAACTTGCTGCATAGTTGTCTTGCAGTGGCCCAGGAAGATGCCTGTTCTTGTCTCTCCTGGATTGATGCCCTGTTTCCTAGATCCCATGTCTAGAGCACACTTTCTAATAGCTTCTTGAGAGGATGCCATAGGGGCTAAATTTTTTGACTTTTGCATAATAATGTAAAATGTCATTATTCTACCCTCATGCTTGATTGAGAGTTTGGTTAGAGAGAATTTTAAGTTGCAAATCATTTTCCCTCAAAATTTTGAAGGCAGTGCTCCACTGTTCTCTGATTTCTATGTTACTATTGAAAAATCTAGAGCCCTTTTCCTAATCCTGTTTATTTGACCTTCTCTCTGGAAGTTTTTAAGATAAATCTCAAGAGTATGAAATTTCAGAGATGAACTTGAGAGCAAGTAATTTCCCTTCATTGTGCTGACAGCTCTAGGAAGGATGTTTCCAAGAAACAAAAACAAAAAGAGAGAGAGAGACAGAGGGAAAGAAATCACACATACACCACCTGAAGTATTGACTGATGCTTTTGAATGCATTGTGAGATTTATATGTCTTGCAGAGAATTTAACCATAATCATAAATGTATGTAGAATACCAATCGAACAAATAAGCTGGTGGGGAGGGGGAGGGAGACGATTACTACCTCTAGTTAAGCAAGTTTATAAGAAAAAAATATATAGTCATATAATTCTCTAAGCTCAGCCATGAATAATATTCACAAGTCATAATAAAGTAAATGCTGATTATGAAACAGGAGGGAAGGCGGCAGGGCACAACCTTTGAAACAATGACATAGCCAGAGGACGAGACATAAACTGATTAGAACCAAATGGGTCCAAGATGGCAGATAAGTCAAATTCCACTAGACCCTGAGCCTCAGTATATGCTCACTGTAACACATCAGCAAGCTAAATGACACACCTACAGGTGGCATGACAGTTCCAAGGCCAACCATAAGGATCAAAAAGTGGGCGGTGGCCCAATTCCTGGAAACCACCATCCCTTCCTGAACCAGCTGGAATACTCCTCCCACTCATTAGGCTATGAAATTACCCACCCCTATAAAAACTGACAACCTCATACCTTGGTGCCTTTCTCACCTTCTGAGATGGCCCACACTCTGTCTGTGGAGTGTGTTTCGCTCTAAATAAATCTGCTTCTTAACTATCACTCTGTCTCTCACTGAATTCTTTCCACGCTGAGACACAAAGAACATGAGCCTCAGTAAGTCCAGACACCAGGTGAGTGATTCTAATTAAAACACCGTGAGTTCGAGTCCCAAGCAGGGTTTTGGCCATGTTCAAGTCCTGGCCGCATGGGTTCAAGTCGCAATCTGAGGTGCACGGTTTCAATTAATGCTTTAACATTTATATCCAGAAAATAGAAAGAATTTGACAACTCAAAAATAAGAAAAACAACCCAAATTTTTAAATGGTATCTGCTTTTAAAATAGTTGAGCAGATACCTCACCAAAAAAGACATTCCACTACTAGGTATGTACCAAAGAGAAAATGAAAATATGCCTGCCCAAAGGTTTATACATGAAATGTTCACAGCAGCTTAATTCATAGTAACCCCTAAACAATGCAAATACCCAACAAGAGAAGAATAAACAAATTGTGATATAGGCTACAATAAAATACTACTAAGCAGTGCAAAGGAATGAACTACTGATACACTGAAGAATGTAAAAAAAGTGTATATGCTAAATGAAAGAAGCTAGATATAAAATAATACACACTTTTTTATTCTCCTTACATGAAGTTCTAGAAGGGATAGGATGCTGATATACAGAATTGGGGGAAAAGAGATTTCAGATGGAACCAATTGCCTGAGCAAATACAGAATAACGGGAAAGCATGGGGCTTCTCCTGAAAAAGGTAAAGTTTTATTTTGACTGATAAATAGGGTACAGGTTGAGACTTGACAAAATAAGTTAGGGTCATACCTTTTTTTTTTTCCACGCCTAGCAGCTTGCAGGATCTGAGTCCCCTGACACAGGATTGAACCCATACCATCGGCAGTGAAAGCACGAAGTCCTAACCAGTGGACCTCCAGGGAATTCCTAGGGTCATGTATCATTTTTTCTTTTTCTTTTTTTTACCATCTTTATCGGAGTATAATTGCTTTACAATGGTGCGTTAGTTTCTGCTTTATAACAAAGTGAATCAGCTATATATATACATATATCACCACATCTCCTCCCTCTTCCGTCTCCCTCCCACCTTCTCTATCCCACCCCCATATATTATATCCTAAAGACCTTGGATACAATAACAGTTTGAACGTTGTGCTCTTTTTCTTTTTTTTTTTTTGAATTTTATTTTATATATTTTTTTATACAGCAGGTTCTTATTAGTTATCCATTTTATACATATTAGTGTATACCTGTCAATCCCAATCTTGCAATTCATCATACCACCACCCCCTCCCCCTGCCACTTTCCCCCCTTGGTGTCCATACACTGGTTCTCTACATCTGTGTCACTATTTCTGCCCTGAAAACCGGTTCATCTGTACCATTTTTCTAGGTTCCACATATATGTGTTAATATTCGATATTTGTTTTTCTCTTTCTGACTTACTTCACTCTCTATGACAGTCTCTGGAAACATCCACGTCTCTACAAATGACCCAGTCTCGTTCCTTTTTATGGCTGAGTAATATTCCATTGTATCTGTGTATCACATCTCCTTTATCCATTTGTCTGTCGATGGGCATTTTGGTTGCTTCCATGACCTGGCTACTGTAAATAGTGCTACAATGAATATTGGGGTGCATGTGTCTTTTTGAATTATGGTTTTCTCTGGGTATATGCCCAGTAGTGGGATTGCTGGGTCATATGGTAATTCTATTTTTAGTTCTTTAAGGAATCTCCATACTGCTCCATAGTAGCTGTATCAATTCACATTCCCACTAACAGTGCAAGAGGGTTCCCTTTTCTTCACACCCACTCCAGCATTTGTTGTTTCTAGATTTTCTGATGATGGCCAATCTAACCGGTGTGAGGTGATACCTCATGGTAGTTTTGATTTGCATTTCTCTAATAATTAGTGATGTTGAGCAGCTTTTCATGTGCCTTTTGGCCATCTGTATGTCTTCTTTGGAGAAATGTCTATTTAGGTCTTCTGCACATTTTTTTGATTGGGTTGTTTGTTTAATATTGAGCTGCATGAGCTGTTTATATATTTTGGATATTAATCCTTTGTCCATTGATTCGTTGCCAATATTTTCTCCTATTCTGAGGGTTGCGTTTTCGTCTTGTTTGTAGTTTCTTTTTCTTTGCAAAAGCTTTTAAGTTTCATTAGGTCCCATTTGTTTATTTTTGATTTTATTTCCATTACTCTAGGAGGTGGATCAAAAAACCATCTTGCTGTGATTTATGTCAGAGTGTGTTCTTCCTATGTTTTCCTCTAGGAGTTTTATAGTGTACAGTCTTACATTTAGGTAGCTAATCCATTTTGAGTTTATTTTTGTGTACGGTGTTAGGGAGTGTTCTAATTTCATTCTTTTACATGTAGCTGTCCAGTTTTCTCAGCACCATTTATTGAAGAGGCTGGCTTTTGTCCATTGTATATCCTTGCCTCCCTTGTCATAGCTCAGTTGACCATAGATGCATGGGTTTATTTCTGGGCTTTCTATCCTGTTCCATCGATCTATATTTCTGTTTTTGTGCCAGTACCATATTGTCTTTTTTACTGTAGCTTTGTAGTATAGTCTGAAGTCAGGGAGTCTGATTAGTTCAGCTCTGTTTTTTTCCCTCAAGACTACTTTGGTTATTCAGGGTCTTTTGTGTCTCCATAATAATTTTAAGATTTTTTGTTCTGGTCCTATAAAAAATGCCATTGGTAATTTGATAGGGATTGCATTGAATCTGTAGATTGCTTTGGGTATTATAGTCATTTTCACAATATTAATTCTTCCAATCCAAGAACATGGTATATCTCTCCATCTGTTTGTATCATCTTTAATTTCTTTCATCAGTGTCTTACAGTTTTCTGCATACAGGTCATTTGTCTCGTTAGGTAGGTTTATTCCTAGGTATTTTTGTTGTTGTTGTTGCAGTGGTCAATGGAAGTGTTTCCTTAATTTCTCTTTCAGATTTTTCATCATTAGTGTATATGAATGCAAGAGATTTCTGTGCATTAATTTTGTATCCTTCAAATTTACCAAATTCATTGATTAGCTCTAGTAGTTTTCTGGTGGCATCTTTAGGATTCTCTATGTATGGTATCATGTCATCTGCAAACAGTGACAGTTTTACTGCTTCTTTTCCAATTTGGATTCCTTTTACTTCTTTTTTCTTCTCTGATTGCCATGGCTAGGACTTCCAAAACGATGCTGAATAACAGTGGTGAGAGTGGACATCCTTGTCTTGTTCCTGGTCTTAGAGGAAATGCTTTCAGTTTTTCACCATTTTGCTGTGGGCTTGTCATATATGGCCTTTATTATGTTGAGGTAGGTTCCCTCTATGCCAACTTTCTGGAGAGTTTTTATCATAAATGGGTGTTGAATTTTGTCAAAAGCTTTTTCTGCATCTATTGAGATGATCATATGCTTTTTCTTCTTCAATTTGTTAATATGGTGTATCACATGGACTGATTTGTGTATATTGAAGAATCCTTGCATCCCTTGGATAAATTCCACTTGATCATGGTGTATGATCTTTTTAATATGTTGTTGGATTCTGTTCGCTAGTATTTTGTTGAGGATTTTTGCATTAATATTCATCAGTGATATTTTTCTGTAATTTTCTTTTTTTGTTATATCTTTGTGTGGTTTTGATATCAGGGTAATGGTGGCTTCCTAGAATGACTTTGGGAGTGGTCCTTCCTCTGCAACTTTTTGGAAGAGTTTGAGAAGGATGGGTGTTAGCTCTTCTCTAAATGTTTGATAGAATTCACCTGTGAAGCCATCTGGTCCTGGACTTCTGTTTGCTGGAAGATTTTTTTTTAATTAATTAATTAATTAATTTATTTTTGGCTGTGTTGGGTCTTCGTTTCTGTGTGAGGGCTTTCTCTAGTTGTGGCAAGCGGGGGCCACTTTACATCGTGGTGTGCGGGCCTCTCACTATCTCCGCCTCTCTTGTTGCGGAGCACAGGCTCCAGACACACAGGCTCAGTAGTTGTGGCTCACAGGCCTAGTTGCTCCGTGGCATGTGGGATCCTCCCAGACCAGGACTCGAACCCGTGTCCCCTGCATTAGCAATTAGCAGGCAGATTCTCAACCACTGTGCCACCAGGGAAGCTCCTCTTGGAAGATTTTTAATCACGGTTTCAATTTCATTACTTGTGATTTGTCTGTTCATATTTTCTATTTCTTCCTGGTTCAGTCTTGGAAGGCTATACCTTCCTAAGAATTTGTCCATTTCTTCCAGATTGTCCATTTTATTGGCATAGATTTGCTTATAGTAGTCTCTTAGAATGCTTTGTATTTCTGCAGTGTCTGTTGTAACTTTTCCTATTTCATTTCTAATTTTATTGATTTGAGTCCTCTCCCTCTTTTTCTTGATGAGTCTGGCTAATGGTTTGTCAATTTTGTTTACCTTCTGAAAGAACCAGCTATTAGTTTTATTGATCTTTGCTATTGTTTTCTTTGTTTCTATTTCATTTATTTCTGCTCTGATCTCTATGATTTCTTTCCTTCTACTAACTTTGGGTTTTGTTTGTTCTTCTTTCTCTCGTTCCTTTAGGTGTGAGGTTAGATTGTTTTTGAGATTTTTCTGGTTCCTTGAGGTAGGCTTGTATTGCTATAAAATTCCCTCTTAGAACTGTTTTTACTGCATCCAATAAGTTTTGGATCATCGTGTTTTCATTGTAATTTGTCTCTAGGCATTTTTTGATTTCCTCTTTGATTTCTTCAGTGATCTCTTGGTTACTTAGTAACGTATTGTTTAGCCTCCATGTGTTTGTGTTTTTTACATTTATTTCCCTGTAATTGATTTCTAATCTCATAGCACTGTGGTCAGAAACAATGCTTGATATGATTTCAATTTTCTTAAATTTACTGAGGCCTGATTTGTGACCCAAGATGTGATCTATCCTGGAGAATGTTCCATGTGCACTTGAAAAGAAAGTGTAATCTGCTGTTTTTGACTGGAATGTCATATAAATATCAATTAAATCTATCTGGTCTATTGTGTTATTTAAAGTTTGTGTTTCCTTATTAATTTTCTGTCTGGATGATCTGTCCATTGGTGTAAGTGAGGTGTTAAAGTCCCTCACTATTATTGTGTTACTGTTGATTTCCTCTGTTATAGCTGTTAACATTTGTCTTATGTATTGAGGTGCTCCTATTTTGAGTGCATATATATTTATAATTGTTATATCTTCTTCTTGGATTGATCCCTTGATCATTATGTAGTGTCCTTCCTTGTCTTTTGTAACATTCTTTATTTTAAAGTCTCCTTTATCTGATAAGAAATTGCTACTCCAGCTTTCTTTTGATTTCCATTTGCATGGAAAATCTTTTTGCATCCCCTCACTTTCAGTCGGTATGTGTCCCTAGGTCTGAAGTGGGTCTCTTGTAGACAGCACATATATGGGTCTTGTTTTTGTATCCATTCAGTGAAACTGTGTCTTTTGGTTGTAGCATTTAATCCATTCACGTTTAAGGTAATTATCAGTATGTATGTTCCTATTACCATTTTCTTAATAGTTTTTGGTTTGTTTTCTTAGGTCCTTTTCTTCTCTTGTGTTTCCCATGTAGAGAAGTTCCTTTAGCATTTGTTGTAGAGCTGGTTTGGTTATGCTGAATTCTCTTAGCTTTTGCTTGTCTGTAAAGCTTTTGATTTCTCTGTCAAATCTGAATGAGATCCTTGCCAGGCAGAGTAATCTTGGTTGTAGGTTCTTCCCTTTCATCACTTTAAGTATATCATGCCACTCCCTTCAGGCTTGTAGAGTTTCTGCTGAGAAATCAGCTGTTAACCTTATGGGAGTTCCCTTGTATGTTATTTGTAGTTTTTCCCTTGCTGCATTCAGTAATTTTCCTTTGTCTTTAATTTTTCCCAATTTGTTTACTATGTGTCTCGTCATGTTTCTCCTTGGGTTTATCCTGCCTGGGAGTCTCTGCGCTTCCTGGACTTGGGTGGCTAGTTCCTTTCCCATGTTAGGCAAGTTTTTGATTATAATCTCTTCAAATATTTTCTCGGGTCCTTTCTCTCTCCCTTCTCCTTCTGAGACCCCTATAATGTGAATGTTGTTGTGTTTCATGTTGTCCCAGTGGTGTCTTAGGCTGTTTTCATTTCTTTTCATTCTTTTTCTTTATTCTGTTCCATGGCAGTGAATTCCACCATTCTGTCTTCCAGGTCACTTATGTGTTCTTCTGCCTCAGTTATTCTGCTATTGATTCCTTCTAGTGTATTCTTCATTTCAATTATTTTATTGTTCATTTCTGTTTGTTTGTTATTTAATTCTTCTAGGTGTTTGTTCTTAATTCTTCTAATGTCTTTGTTAAACATTCTTGCATCTTCTCGAGCTTTGCCTCCAATCTTTTTCCAAGGTCCTGGATCATCTTCACTATGATTATTCTAATTCTTTTTCTGGAAGTTTGCCTATCTCCACTTCATTTAGTTGTTTTTCTGGGGTTTTATCTTGTTCCTTCATCTGGTACAAAGTCCTCTGCCTTTTCATTTTGTGTATATTTCTGTGAATGTGGTTTCCTTCCACAGCCTGCAGGATTGTAGTTCTTCTTGCTTCTGCTGTCTGCCCTCTGTCTATCTAAGAGGCTTGTGCAAGTTTCCTGATGGGAGGGACTGTTGGTGGGTAGAGCTGGCTGTTGCTGTGGTGAGCAGTGCTCAGTAAAACTTTAATCTGCTTGTCTGCTGTTGGGTGAGGCTGGGTTCCCTCCCTGTTGGCTTTTTGGCCTGAGGCGACCCAACACTGGGGCCTGCCTGGCTCTTTGGTGGGGCTAATGGCGGACTCTGGGAGTGCTCACGCCAAAGAGTACTTCCCAGAACTTCCACTGCCAGTGTCCTTGTCCCCACAGTGAACTACAGCCACCGCCTGCCTCTGCAGGAGACCCTCTAATACTAGCAGGTAGGTCTAGTTCAGTCTCCTACGGGGTCACTGCTCCTTCCCCTGCGTCCTGATGCGCACACTACTTTGTGTGTGCCCTCCAAGAGTGCAGTGTCTCTTTTTCCCAGTCCTGTCAAAGACCTGCAATCAAATCCTGCTAGCCTTCAAAGTCTGATTCTCTAGGAATTCCTCCTCCTGTTACTAGACCCGCAGGTTGGGAAGCCTGACGTGGGGCTCAGAACCTTCATTCCAGTGGGTGGACTTCTGTGGTATAAGTGTTCTCCAATTTATGAGTCACCCATCCAGCAGCTATGGGATTTGATTTTATTGTGATTGCACCCCTCCTACCATCTCTTTGTCGCCTCTCCTTTGTCCTTGGATGTGGGGTATCTTTTTTGGTGAGTTCCAGTGTCTTTCTGTCAATGATTGTTCAGCAGTTAGTTGTGATTTCAGTGCTCACTGAAATTTGTGCTCTTGAACATCAAGAGCTTTCAATACTTTCTGAACTTCCTTATTTAAAATTTTATCTTGTTTGTTAGTTGGCATTTTTTTTGCTTGAGGATGAAGCAAGAGATATCATGAATTTGAAGTTTTTAGAACAGTGTTTCATAGTGTCCTCTCAAGGAATGTTTCAAATACTTATTAACAGCTTATTTGTTCCTTGTTTATTTTGGGTTGTGGTAAGCTGAGTAATGGCCCCACAAAGATGTCCGTGTCCTAGTCCCCAGAACCTCTGAATACATTACCTTACATAGTAAAAGGGACTTTGCAAATGTGATTAATTTAAGGATCTTGAGATGGAGAGATTACAATAGATTGTCTGGATGGGTCCAATGTAATCATAAGAGAAGGGCAATCACCCAGAGAGGTGATCGTACAGAGAAGGCAATGCGATGATGGAAGCAGAGAGATATTTGAAGGTGATTTGCTGCTGGCTTTGAAGATGTGAGGCAGGGAATGCAGGCAGACTCTAGAAGCTTGAAAAAGTACGGAAACAGATTCTTCCCCAGAGTCTCCAGAAGGAACAAACCCTGCTGACACCTTGACTTTAGTCTAATGAGACTATCATTGTACTTCTGACCTCCAAAAGAGAATAAATTCGTGTTGTTTTAAGCCATTAATATTGTGGTAATTTGTTACAGCAGCCGTAGGAAATGAGTACAGATTTTGGTATCTGAAAGTATCCCTCTTTCTGCCTCCCTTTGTCCTCAGTTCCAAGAATGAGCTTGGGACATCATTAGCACAGGATTATTACTCTTGGCTAGTCTTGGCCAGAGTCTGCAAGGAGGCTGCCCCAAAGAAGAAGAGAGATTGGAGAAGGGGTGAGGTGAGTTCAGTCATCAGAAAAAAGATGTTTTTCTAGCTCCAAACTATGGCAACTCTACTGTAACAAATACTAAAAATATGAAAGTGGTTTGGAAGTGGGTAATGGGTAGAAGTTGGAAGAATTTTGAGGAACATGATGGAAAAGTCCTAGATTGCCTTGAACACACTGTTAGTAGAAATATGGGTGTTAAAGACTGCTGGTGAGGTCTCAGAGGAAATGAGGAATGTGATTTGGGAAACTGGAGGGAAGGGGATCTGTTATATAATGGTAGAAAGCTTAGATTGTGTCCTATAATTATACAGAAAACAGAACTTTTAAGCAATGAATTTGGGTATTTGGTTGAGATTTCCAAGGAAAATATTGAAGGTGTGACCTGGTTTCTTCTTGGTTGCTTTTAGTAAAATGTGAGAGAGGAGCGGAGAGAACTGTTACAAAAAGGAAGCAGAATTTGATTTGGGAAATTCTCAGCCTACACAGATTGCAAACAATGCTGAAGTTAAGAGATCCACTGCCAAGAAAGCATGCTCTGCAGAGTAAGCCAATGATGTAGTTGCACAGCTTTTTCTTTTTTGATTAAAAATGTTTTAAATTGTAGTAAAATATGCATAAAAGTTATCATCTTAACCATTTTTAAGTGTGGATAGACTTTTGCTAGTACTTGGAAAGTACAAAAGGTTAGTACATTCAAGTACATAGAGGGCTCTTTGAAGGGGTGTAAGACTCAGAAGCCAAAAACAGATGAAATTATTCAGGAAAGATCTGTGGAGTAGCCTGTTTTTTAGTAAAGTGAATCTCCGTGACCCACAAAGTTTTTGAGAATGCTATACCAACAGAAACATTGTCAAGTTGGACTAAGAGGGACAGAGGGCAAAAATGAAAAGACTCTCAAAATTCTACAGGCAGAAAACATGCTGAGAAAAACCACTCAGTGGCAGACATGTGTTACTCTTCATGAAAAAGGATGATTCCAAGGGTGGAAAGCTCCAAAGAGTGGAGTCAGGGGTCCAGAGGGCAGAGGCATGAGCCGTGTAAGTTTATTTCCAGGCTTTGAAACTTAATGGAGTTTGCCTAGGTGGACTTCAAAAGTAATTAACTGACTCTTTTTCTTCATTTTCTCCCTTCTTGAATGAGAATGGATCTGTTACTCTATGCCTGTCACACCACTGTATTTCTAGAGCACAAACATGCTTTCTAGTTTCACAGCTCCACAGGTAGAGGATTTTGCCCCAGGACACATTATATCAGAACTGCACCCATAATTTAGATGATTAGATATGAGATTTTAGACTTGAGTTGATACTGTAATGGGCTGAGACTCTGGGGGGCCTTGGAATGGGTGAAGGTATTTCTCATGTGGGATGTATGAGTCTTCGCGGACTGGCAGTGGACTGTGATAAGCTGAATAATGGTCCCCCGTAAAGATAGCCAAGTCTTAATCCCTGGAACCTGTGAATATGTTGTACATAGTAAAAGGGATTTTGTAGAAGTGACATATACTGACATAAAGACACAAGACCTTTGGGTCAGAGATACAATTTGTTACTCATAGCAAAAAAAAGAAAAAAAAAAAAGGAGCCAGATCAGCATCGTGGGTTGATTTCCCATGCCCCAATTCCCACAGGTGTTAGCTCTGCACACAGTGGGGGCTGCTGGTACATCCTCTCACCCTTCCCTACAGGGAGATCACTCATTACTCCTGGAATGCACGCAAATGTCTCCAGGGAGGTAGGAAAAGGCTTTATATTTACTTCCCTGGGATGTTTCTTGGGAAGATGTCTCTAGTTTCACCATTCTGAAATGTCTCCTTACACAAGTGTTCTTAACTTAAACACAAATACTTTCATTCAGAGGATCCAGACTGTGCAGAAATGTGAGCTATTCATGGAAAACTGTCTTCCAACTGTATTTTAAGCATGAATAAGGGGGAAAAATCTATTACCTTTAATAGAATAGAAAATCTGAAAAATCAAATGTTTCAATAATGCCAAGAGTGGCTGATGGAAAGGAGCTGCTAACCTATATGATTTTAGAGAAAGACCACGCCCAAAGAAACATCACCCAGTGGGGTCAGGAAATATGTAAAGAGAGGCAGAAGTTGAAATTAGTTTGAGGAAGACATGTTAAGCAATTAAATTGCTTAATTTCCAGCAATGATGTGAGGAAGCAACATCAATCAATGCCGTTTGGGGATGCTTATAGAGATTATCTGACAAAATCAGATTTTTTAATGTAAAAATGGCAAAGAAATTTGCCATATATTTAATTATTATTCCTGGGACTATGACCTCATGTTACAGGTATTAGATGTTATTGAATTTTTTCTCCAACAAATGTAAATGGAATATCCAGTTACTATGTATCATGCAAGATGACACGATCTCTGCTCCTATGGAGCATGCATTTCAAGGTGGCAGGTTGACAGAACTATTAATCACATAAATAAATACAACTATTACAAATTACATACTACCAAGAAAACAAAGAAATAAAAGAATAAAGAAGGATGTACCCAAACTAAAGTGGTTAGGAAAGACCTCTTTAAAGAGGTAACATATAATTCAATCTATTCTCAAAATAGAAGTCAGAGTGAGTTTTTTAAAACCTAATGCACATCATGTCTTTCCTCCACAGAACCCAACTGCTCTCCATTTCACTGACAAAACTCCAGAGCCCCTATAATGGTCTAGAGCCCTTCATGATTTGGTCCCCAAATAGTTCCCTGACTTCCTTTCTTATTACTTTCTATAGCACTTATTAAAGTCTAAATATTATAAACGTTATTATGTTTATTGTCTCTCTCTCTCCTTGCCAGAACATAAGCTCCACTAGAGAATGGTCTCTGTTTTCTTCATTTCGTATCCCAAATGTGCCTAGAACGGTACCTGACCTAACGGTACCTGACCTTAAATGTTTGTTCAATGAACAAACAGTACCTGACCTTAAATGTTTGTTCAATGAACATAAAATTACACTGATTTTATTAGTATTAAAATATAACAAAAATAAAAACAAAGTTATCACATACACTGCTATATTAACATTTAAATACAACAGATAAAAAAATCACAAAATGAGAACTGCAGAAACAAAAACCAGGTAAGATTTGTTTACACAACATTGTAAAGTGACTATACTCCAATTAAAAAAAAAAAAGATTTATTTAACGTGGTAGGTGTGCTTGCCCATTCATAAGTTCATTCCAGTCTGGAACACAGGAGGATAATGCTACTCGCATATCTGCTGCGCCATTTAATCCGGTCCTTTCCTTTGCTTTTAACTGGGTTAAGACCGAAAATCCTATTTCACACAAACTAGTTGCTGTGAATGGTAATAATAGCAGGATACTCTTTTGACTTATCAAAGGAAAGTCTTCCTTTATCTTAATCCAAAATGCTGATACACTTAGTGTTTCATAATCATTCTTCGATGTATATGAAGAACTGAGCTGCAATAATTCATTTTCTTCTTCAGGCACCAAGTTTAACTCAATTATTGATTCTGGGTTTCAAAAAGCAAACGGATCTTTTACCCAACAATTCTGTCTTAATGTTTCAAATTTCTCTTCTGGGAATAAATGGTTAAAGGTTTGACAGAGAGAAGTGAGGTGCAACAATATCTCTAGTTTTATTTCTTCCAAAATGTTTTCATTGATAACATTCTCTTCAATGTGCTGCAAAAACCTTGGAAACATGTAGTAGCTAGGACGATTGCTTTTAAGCTTCGCTTGCCACAACAGTAATGCCTTCTGGAATCCTTGGATACATTCGGCCTGTTGGAATATGTCACTGTTTTTCCCCTGTAGTTTTAAACGTAGTTCATTAAGGATGCCAAAAATATCAGTTAAATATGCCAGTTTCGTTACCCAAATATCATCCTCAAAAATAGTTGCCAAATGAGACTTCTTTTCAGTAAGAAAAACGTGTATCTCATTCCTGAGTTCGTAAACCCTGCTCAGTATTTTCCCTTGAGACAACCAACGAACTTTGGTGTGAAACAGTAAGTGGGTATAATTAGCTCCAATCTCTGAACAAAACATTTCAAGAAGTCGGCTGTTTAATGAGCTTCCTTTAATAAAGTTAACAACTTTCACTGCCTTTTTCAATACTTCCATGAGCTTCTGTGGAATCTCTCTGGATGCTAATACTTCATGATGTATAAAACAATGATTCCACACACCACTAGTAACTTCTAGCAATTTTTTAATTACTCTGCTCTGTTTTCCAGTGATGTTTGCTGTTCCGTCACTTGTAATTCCTTTGCAGTTTTTCCAGTTTAATTTATACTGACCAAAAATGCACTTTTCTAATTCTGTGAAAATATCTAATCCACTTAGGTGTGAGGTTAAGTTTAAACAACACAAAAAATCCTCCATAAAATCGCCTTGCCACGCATATCTTACATAGACTAAAAGTGCTGTGCAGCTTCCAGTATCTGTGCTTTCATCAAGCTGGATTGCAAAATCCATTCCCGACTGTAACTGAGTAATAAGCATTGCCTCTAAATGTTCGGCAATCATACAAATTCGAAGAGATATTGTGTTATTACTAGGAATCGTTTTTAATTTATCAGCAGATTTATCATCAAAAATTGTACGCACCGTATCCAAACATGCTGGAAGAATAATTTTTTTCAGCAGCTGTGTGAGCTTCTCTTTTGCCACACGATATGCAACTAAATATGATGATAATAAGGTTTTCTCACTAACAGTAGTAGAGCAGCTAAGAAATTGTGTTGATGACTTTACAACTATTTTCTTTCTTTGAAAATATTCAAGAGGCTTATCAATAAGTTCAGCATGCTGTGTTTCTAAGCGCCTTTTTAATTTTGCAGGTTTTAAGCTTTCATTTGCAAGAATATTATTACAAATAAGACACTGAGGTCTGTCATTTTCAAAGGGTTTTTCACATTTGATAAAACCATATTTTAAATAATCTTCATTACAACGCCTTGCAGTTACTTTTTTCTTTTTGAAACATGGCTCAAATGAAGTTGATGTTTGCAGATTAGAGCCAATAGTTTTATCAATATTGTCACTATTCATACTTCCAGATCCAGCAGTAGAACTTGAACATGCTTCTGCATATTTTGCTTCATTATTCCTCTTTCTTTTAAAAAAGAAATGATCCATTTTAAAAGCAATTTTGAATAAAATATTATAATTGCCACTAACTATAATTGCCACTAATATATATATGTGTATATATATATATATATATATATATATATATTTTTTTTTTTTTTTACA